TGTCTGTTTGCCGAGGTGTGTGTGGCCATCCCCTTTACATTTGTAAATCTCTTTGGTCCTGTCTCTTCCGTGTTGCTGGGGCTCAGAATGCTCTGTGGCAGCCAGGAGCTAATCTCATCTCCAGCCCAAAGCATTCCTGTCTGGCGCTGCTGATGACTTGGTGGGAAGGATGTGAAGGAATTTCCAGGGGCTGTTTTCATTAAACAACGGCAGAACAAAAGTAAAATGCTCTACCTTGGAGAAAACAGAAACTCCAAAGGTGATTTTGCGATGCAGCTTGGAGCTCCTGTGTTATGGCAGAGAGATCGGTTGAGGCTTTTGATGCCAGGTTGTTTTTCCAAAATTTGTTCTCCTTCATAATAAGCCCTTCTGCTTTGATCTTTTCCTCCCACGCATCCCTACCACCCCCTCAACACACACTCCCCTGAGAACACTCAGCTGGTTTTCTTTTGCAAATTTAAGACCAAGCTAAACTATATTAAAACTCTGTACTAGGTTTTGACGTAGGTGCCTCACGATTTGAGCCGAGTTTGCTATTTCTGAGATTTTAAGTATACAAATATCTGTCACTATATAAAAATATACTTTAAAGGTTCACACGCAACAGCGTATATTTTTTAAAGTTGCCTTAAAACATGTTGAAAATCACTCCTTCGCTCACCTTGAAAAGTGCTCAAAAATGTCTCCTTTATCCCCAGGCACACAGTTACAGTTGTTTTTCTTAGATCTGTCCATGCCAACCCCTATGCCAATGTGGAATCCATACCTAAAATAGTCAGTGAAAGTGGTGCCTTTACAGCCAAGGCCTCTTGCACCGGAGGCTGCTAAGCCTCCATTCTGTTTTGAATATCAAGCTTTTCATCTTCAGTAATTTATGGGGTGAAGATCCTGCATTCACTTCCATAATAGTAACAACCCTTTCTGAGTAATTGATTGTATGTCAGGGCCATCTAAATACCTGATGTGTCTCAAACCGTTAAGTCTTCCAGCAACTGTTTGAGCTGGGTGTTCTGTTCATTATCGCTATTTTAGAGTTCAGAGCCTGAGACAGAGGAGGCAAAGCCCTGGTGCTTCAGGAAGCTCTTTGGAGCTACCCCAAATCCACTCTGCAACACCAACAACCCTTCCTGCACTCTGCCCTCACAGGTGATGGGAGAAAGCTGATTACTATCTTTCCATTTGAAGATCACAAAGGTATCAGAGTTTAAAACACAGAGGGTCAGCTCCCTCACCTTGACCTTCTCGATTTCAGAGAGATATAAAGTGATCCTTCTAATCAGTTTTGGAACTGATTTGGCAGAATCACAGAAAACTAAACACCAATCCAACGAGGCCCTCCGGGATCCTTACACTGTCAGGTCAGATACCGCTAATGGAGAGACAAGAAGATGCCAAGGCTTCTTCTAACGCAGCACAGGCCGTGTAACCCTTGCCCCTGGGCTGTTTGCTGGGTTTTCTTTTTCCTCTTGTTTACAGAGTTCTGTCAGTGCCAGGTGCTGTGGTCAGTCCTTTATAGGTATTTTCTCACTTAAGCCCTGCATTTAACTCAGGAGTCAGTGGTTAGCATCCCTGTTTAACAAACGGGAAAACTCAAAACTCGGAAATATTCAGGGATTTATTGACTCTCACCTAGCAGAGCCAGGGAGGGAGCTGGCGCTTAAACCAGGCCTTGCTGCCTCAAAACACACCCATGTGTGTGCTAAGTTGCCTGGTCGTGTCTGACTCTTGTGACCCCATGGACTATAGCCCTCCAGGCTCCTCTGTCCATGGGATTCTCCAGGCAAGAACACTGGAGCAGTTTGCCATTTCCTCCTCCAGGGGATCTTCCTGACCCAGGGATCAAACCTGCATCTCTTTACATCTCCTGCTTTGGCAGGTGGGTTTTTACCACTGAGCCTCCCGGGAATCCCAGATTACATCCCTTTAACCATGATATTGTGCTGTTCCCAACACACACCAACACACACACACACACACACACACACACACACACACACACACAGTGCAGGGTGATCTCTCAGCTTGTGGCTTCAGGCTGAACAGGTCCTGAAGGTGCCAGGCCTCCTGACCCGCAAACACAGAGGGCCCCTTTGAGAATCACATTCTGTGCTCAGTCTTGTCCTGCCAGCCTCATGGTCACAGCTTCTCTCAGAAGGAGCCCCATGGTGATCCCAGGGGTGTCCTTGGGCTGGAATGAGGGTGCCCTCCTGGCGAGTCTGCTCTAGCACCCTCAAGGAATTCCCCTGTGTGCTAAGTTCTGAAGGTGAGCCTTCCACTGTTGCTTTTCTAGAAGCCAGTCTCTGAAAAGGGAAAATCCTTTTAGGCCTTGGAGCCACCGTTGTCAGCACCCTCACCGCAGAATGGCAGCCAGGTCCTGCAAACTGGGACAGAAGTTCTATTAAAGAAGTAGAAACAGTGGGTGGATGAGAGCTGCTCCCCAGGCAGCCTCTGCCCAAGGGCTGAACCCCAAGAGGAAACAGGTCAAGTCAGTCTGTCCCACTTTCCTGTAGCACAGAAAACCTGAGGTGCTGTGGCAGTGGGAAGAGGGATGCACACAGTCTACAAAACCCTCGCTGATCTCTGAAAATATTTTCAGAAATGCCAATTCTCGAATCATCTCCTCCTCCTCTCCCACTCCTCCTTTAGAGACTTTGGGAAAACCAGTGTCGAGTGCCAGTGGCCAGCCCTGTTCTGAAAGATGTTTCCTGGCAGAGGCAGTGGCCACACCCCTCCATGCTGTGGGGTCCCTTTTGTTCTCCTTTGTCTCTGGCATTCATCTGAGCTCTGAAAAGATCCTTGCAACCATATACAACATGTGATTAACTATCAACAATTTTCTCTGCCATGATTCATGACTTCTGGGCTTGACTTGGATTGGTTTATTTCAGGTTTTATTTCCCCAAGCTTGTTTCCTCTTCTGAATGCTCTTTCACTTTATTATTATCTTATATATAATTTTTAAATAGCCATAGTTGATCATACAGCTGCAGATTGTTCTAAGCTCAAAGACTGACCCTGAGTCCACAGAGTGGCTTTATTAGTAGAAGCATCATCTTCTATAACATTTCAGAACCTCCCTTTTCCTCTTCTTGGCTTTTCAGCAGATGATTTACGGACTTCTTAGAGTCATCTTACACAAGTAGTACCCCTCTTTAGGCTTCAGGCTGCCAAATGCTGAGAATCACTCTTTGTTATCCATCTACCTAGTCCCCAAATAAGACTAGACTTTGTAGACAGGAAAGTGTCTTCCAACCATGCTGCCTGGGCGACCTCCAGATAGTCCCAGCTTCCTGCCTTCCTCCTCATTATTGAATTATTTCTTTTCCTTTCCTTTTTCTTTCCGTTCTTATTCCCTTTTACCTCCTCCTTCTTCTAGTCCCCCGATTTCTTTCCTTCCCCTCTTTCTTCCCCAGGTTTTCCTTGGAGATTAAATAGAAATAGCTAAATGCAGAAGACCCTCCAGCATGGTAAACCCAATGCTGACCTTCACTATCCCTCAAGGGGGGACATCGTGTCCATCACTTTGTCCTTTCTCTTTCCTTATGAAACCCAGGCCACACATTGACCTACTTTTTTTCTGCATAATGTTCCTCTTCCTGTTTCCTTGAAGAACGTGCCCAGCGGAGCACATTCATTACCTAGACTAAGGGACCAACATCCTAGAGGCTACCTTGTGAAAGCAGGCATCTAGATTTAAGGCTAATGGAGCTTTTGAGCAGAGGAGCTTCTCCTGCATCACCTTCACCATTGAAGTCAGCTGGCCCATCTCTTGTTTACCGCTTCTGTCATTCCCAACCAGCCACATGAGTCACCTGTATGACCACTCCCCTGGATTTCCGCCCACAGGAGGAGTGGGGTGGGGATGCCAACCTGCCATGTCCCATCCTAGGAGGATGGACTTGCCCAGGAGAAATAGTTTGAGACTGATTTGGTTTGGTTGTGGTCTATCCTCGAAAAGTAGAATAAGCTCCCATGCTAATATCCTGCTAGAGAACTGAGCCAACCACAAGTGCCTAGTGGGAAAATTGTAGGAGTTACAGTATTTTCAGGGACTCATCTAAATGTAGGCAGTCATTAGTTTAAAATGAGGCTCCTTTGTACCTTGAATAATCCCAGGAGGAAGGGAGGGGGGAGGGGGGCAGTGGGAATCAAGGATTAAAAAAAAAAGAAAAATGTGCTATGTTTCACTAATCTCTATACTTTTGCATGTTTGTTTTTTTCTTGTGCTTGTTGCATGCATTTACCCGTTAATTATGTCAGTAATGGAGAAGAAATGAAGCATTACTTTTGTGGTACAGCTGTTTAAAACGATTACTTTGAAAATGGTATTTTTTTCCAGAACCTTTCCTTAAGTGTCTCATCACCCACAGACATTACTTGCTGTGCTTAGTTGATCATCCTTTGCCCTGAATCCCCAAATGCAATCAGTTGCCTCCTTGATGCTTTCATTGCAGCTTATTCAGTTAATTCGACTGCAGTGCATGCTCCCGACTCCTTTAGAAACTGCAGTGTTAATTAAGATACATGTTTGAAAATGAGAGTCAAATCAAAGGACCCCTGGGCTTGGCTTTCCACGGTCAAAAGCCAATCCTGGGATGAGCATGTAATTTCAGAGAAATGGCCATGCGTCCGGAGCAGTTCTGTGTCTAGACCTGTTTCAGAGTACAGCAATGGAGGGAGTTTCGGTGAGGATTGGTGTTTTTGTTTTTTTGTAAGCAATTGGGAGGGAGAGAAGAGGTCCAAAGGAGATCTTCTGTCTGTGACCCAGCAGCTTGAGATTGTCAAGTAGAGAACTGGGCTGAGGGATCCACAAGGTAAGAAAGCACTCTTCATGCAGGTCCTAGGGCCTCTCAGTTGGGCAGAAAGGAGTGGTCATCCCGGACGACACCCTAGCTAAGAAAGCTATGCACCTGCTTTGCCAGCGCCTCACCATGTGCCAGGAGCCTCTCTTTCTCTTCCTTCTCACCCCGTCTCCTTTCCATTACTTTCTCTTGCTTCAGGGAGGTTCAGAGAAAAGGCTTCAATTCTCCACAAGATTGCCAAGAAGAAATGTCAGGTGGATGAGAACGAGAGGCAGAACGGGGCTGCCAATCACGTGGGTGAGTAAGGGGAGATGTCCATCCCCTGCCGTTCATCCCTGGAGTGTGTGGAGCAGGGGGCAGAGAAGCAGGACCCAGTGTGGGCACCCCAACTCAGTGCAGACACAGAACCCAGTTGCTCAGCCCTTTCTCGGACATCCGAAAGAGTCCCACTTCCCCTGGTGGGTCCAGGGCATGGACAGGCCCAATAGGTCACCTACTCCCAGGGGAACTTTAAAAACAGTGACATGATTCTATGAAGAGCCATATAAAATAAATAAATAATAATGTTAAAGAAGTAAAAATTTTTTAAAATAAATTTATACCACCTTCTAACCACACATCTCCACTGGAGTAGAAAATCACTCCCTTTCGGAGACTGCACAAAATGAGGACACACAGACCTGTCTTTTAATACTTGACGAAAGGTGAGAGTACCCTTTCTGAAGTTCTCGCTTGGTAACCAGATTTTATTCCTATGACATCTCCTGTATCACCCCCACCAAATTACTAGATTGTTCACTTGGTTGCTCCTGAACTGAGTGACCGGGTCCCTGCAAGATGGCCCTGACTCTCCCTTATTAAGAATTCAGCAGCTAGCCCTGGTCCCTTTTGGTTGACTTTTTCTGAGTTCCTTTGTGACCAGATCGTGACATTTAGTGGTCTTATTTTAACTTGGAACATAATGTTCCTCCTCTCCAGTCTGTGACTCTAATGTAGCTCTCAAATTCTAAATTCAGACTAAATTTACCCTAATCTGGATCTATGCAATACACGATGCCCAAGAAACTAAAATTATCTGCAGACAAAATTTAACAGTGTTGCACTCAAAATACATGACATTCCTTGGAAGAGCTTATGTCTCCTCTGTTCTCCTGACTTCTAGTTTCAGGAAAAATCTTTGGCCAAGAAACAGTCAAGATTCTGTTGGGTATGGGGGCGGGGGGGACTTAAAAGAAATAAACTAAAATGTTAGCTCTCACTCCTGGGAAGTTGCTTCTTATGTGTTCATGTCTGTTCTTATACATCTTAACTTCACTTTGGGACCCAGAACCCCCTGTTGTTTGGTCATTAAAGGCTAATCCTAAAGTTGTATCAACTCAGCTAACACACACACAAAGATAGATTTAATATTTCCCAAGGTACTGAGTATTTTTTAGTTTAAACAACTGAACCAAGCATATTAGCAAAAACAGACAATCACACACAGCAGAACATCATTAGGAAAACACTATCACTACTAAGATAAAAGAAGTTGGAGTTTCAGTGGCTTTCCATATTCAAATGTATTTATGCCTTTGTATTCCACAACTGAATACATGAATAAACATAGCATTTCACTATGACTTCCAAAATTTGGCTCCTTTAAATTCAACAATTTTTATATAACTCTCAAATTATTTCCCAGTAAATTTATCAGTGATAGAAATGTTTAATTTTTCTGAAGTTGCTAGAAATACTCTAATACTTTCTGAGCAGCCTGAAGCTGCCCACATCTGAAACTGATGAGCTTTCTGGTACTCCTGATGACCGTGACACTGAACCAACCACACAGCCGAACTCCTAGACTTGACAAGTCCCAAGACTTGACCCAGCTCAGCCAGAGGGCAACCCTTTATATTTCCATCTTTCTGAAATTATGGCAAAAAACCTCAGTGGTGCCCAATCACTGATCACCTGCAGGTGTTCCTCTGAGCCCTGGAAAAAAAATCTTTCTAGTGCAAGTCAGGTGCTGTAAAGTGGATCCAAATAGTTTATGTTTCTTCTTTGCTCACTCTGTACCAGGCACTGTGCTGAGAACTTTAAGTTCTTTTTCTTATGTAATCTCTACAGGTGTACCCTTTGATCATATTGTTGTGATTAGTCATAGCAGCAGTGGTGGTTCGGTTGTCATCATCACCCCAATTTTTTTTAACTTTTGCTTTTGTACTGGGGTATGGCCAATTAACAAAGAGTGTTGTGACAGTGTCAGGTAAATAGCAAAAGGATTCAGCCATACATACACATGAATCCATTCTTCCCCAAACTCCCCTCCCATCCAGACTTTGCATAACATTGAGCAGAGCTCCACACACTATACAGTAGGTCCTTGTTGGTCATCCGTTTTAAATATAGCAGGGCTGAGTACACTGGAAGGCTGGGAAGCAAAAAAATCCTAGACATCTGGCACAATCTAGCCCTGGTTCTTATCACCCCTTGGATGCCACTATCTTCTCCTGTGGCCCAACATTTTAGGATGTTCTTCTCAATATGGCTTTTACCCCCACTGACTCCATTTGCTTGCTTTCTGTGTGTCTAAATTTTGTCACAGAAAAAATCGAGCTCCCAAACAGCACCAGCACAGAAGTGGAGATGACACCCTCCAGTGATGCTTCGGAACCGGTACAAAATGGAAATCTCTCCCACAGCATCGAAGCTGCAGAAGCCCAGGTACAGCAGTTTTTCATTGCTCTCTAGGCTGTTGTGTGTGTCGATATTTTAGCATAACAGCATAGACCTGCATTCTCCTCAGAGGCCCCAGCTCCCAGCTCAGAGGACCCCAGAGTCATCCGTCCCTGTGTGTACTTCCCAGTGCCAGCCAGGGCACCGCATGCATCAGACTCTCATTCATCATGTAAGTGGACATATTCTCCAAGCCAGGCTTCCCAGGTGGCACTTGCAGTAAAGAACCCACCTGCAATGCAGGAGATGTAAGAGACGCGAGTTCAATCCCTGGCTCGGGAAGATCCCCTGGAGAACGGCACAGTGACCCACTCCGGTATTCTTGCCTGGAGAATCCCATGGACTGAGGAGCCTGATGGGCTATGGTCCATAGGGTCGCACAGAGTCAGACATAACTGAAGCGACTTAGCATGCACACACGCATTCTCCAAGCCACTGTTTCTCAGGGTGAGATTGGAGGAGTCATGCATCAAATCTCCTGGGGGTAAAAATGCAGATCCCTGGTCCATATCCCAGATCCAATGGGAAATAGAATCACTGAGAAGCAGCACCCAGGAATGAGCACTTTTTTCTTTTGAACTTTTTATTTTGTGTTGGGGTGTAGCCGATTAACAATGCTGTGATAGTTTCAGGTGAACAGTGAAGGGACTCAGTCACACATTACACACACATCCAAGGAATCATCATTTTAACTCCCGTCCCTGGTGATTTTTAATAGATGATAAAGTTTGATCACTGCTGCAGTCTAATCCTCTCTGTGTCTTTAGGGCCATGATTAAGTAACAGAGAAACCACAGCCATCATTCCTTGGTTAACCCCCCTTTGGCCTTTTGTGTCCCTGCAGTTGAAATTAGTCAGTACTGTGGTCCAGTCCATCATTCAGTATTGCAACCATTAAATAGCTGTTTGATCTAATGGCTACAATACTTAACCATTTATACCCACTGTGTGTGTACCATAGCTTCAGTGCTAGGTGCTTTGTCTATGCTATCACTTTAAACCACCCAGCTGAAGGTAGACATTTAGTATCTCTGTTTTATAGGTGAGGAAGCTAAAGCTTAAGATGAAGCAGTTATTCAGGATTACCTGGTTTGTAGCTATTAGAGCTGAGATTTGATCTTGTGCATGTGTGCTAAGTCGCTTCTTAGCACTAATCTTGCGTGTCTGCCTCTGCGACGCTATGGACTGTAGCCTGCCAGGCTCCTCTGTCCTTGGGGACTGTCCAGGCAAGAATACTGGGACTGTTGCCTTAGGACTGTCTAAATACAGAATCTGTACTGTTTCCACTGCCTCAGGACCACAGTTGCTCAGAAAAGTAGGCAGAACCAAAAGGTAGGTGGTGCTTGTTAGATTTCTGTATCTCACCCTCATCAAGTGAATCAGAATTTTTAAGGCATAGAGTCCCAAATGTACATTTTAACCAGTCACCCTTGAGTCTGTGTTTCTCAAAGTTTAATGTGTTTAGGAATTTCCTAGAGGATTCTGTTAAAATTCAGGGTCTGGTTTTTCAGGTCCAGAGTGGGGCCCTAAGTCTGCAGCTCTCCTGAGCTCCCAGGTGATTCTGATGTGGCTGGTCTAAGAACCACACTTTTTGAGTAGCATGACCCTAAAGTTTGTGACCCACTTCTCTAGACAGAATTTTCCCGATGAGCTGATAATGAAGCTAGACTACAGCAAACCCATTCCAACCGTCTCTTCTCCTTTGTATTGGGATGCTCTCTGCAACAGAGGAAGTCTGTGCTTCTTAGAAAGACGCTTGCTCATCATCGCCTGTTGCCTTTATTCCCTGAAGAAACATGCAAAGAAACTTTCTTCATTTAAAGGAAAGGATAAAGATGTCAAGCACCTTTTTGTACATGTGTTGGCCATTTGTGTGTTGTCTCCTTCAGAAGAATATCCACTCAGATCCTTCACCCATTTTTTAATCAGGTTATTCATTGTTTGCTATTGAGTTGTAAGAGTTCCTCATATATTTTGGTTATTAACTCCTTATCAGATATATGATCTGTAGGTATTTTCTCCCACTCCATAGGTTGCCTTTTCATTTGTCTACTGTTTCCTTTGCTGTGCTTTTCATGAGGTATACCTGTCTTCACACTGTACACCTTAAATAGATGGAATTGTTATTTGTCAGTTACACCTCAGTAAAGCTGTGGGGGGCGGCGGGGAATGGCTAAAGGAAGACAGAGACGTGGCAGCTCCTTCTGCCCTCTGCCTCCTAGAATCTTGCCCTCCTGCCCGGAACCCCACGGTCCCTTCGCGTTAGCTCAAGGGTGAGCTGGCAGAGCAGCTTATGTCTGCAGCATGTGGCAGGAGGAGGCAGGCCCCAAGAACATCTGGCTGTCCTTGGGGACACACAGTCACAGGTGTGCAGAGGGCACCCTCGTCACCGTGCCTGTCCATCTGGCTGGCAGAGGGACAGCTGTACCCCCCACACGGAAGCAGCTTTCTGCAGGGGGTTGACAGAGCCCCAGCCAACCCCTCTCTGAGCAGAGCTGTGTCCCCGGGTCTCACTCAGGGTGACTGGACAGATTTGTGCACCATGCTGATACACTAAGAGCTCAAGGCCTTCAGAGAGCCTCCCCACCACCTAGCTGCCCGCAGGACAGCCTGGCAGTGGTTTTCAGAGCCAACATGAGACAGTTATCAAACCTTCTTCTAGTTTCCTCATCTGCAAAGTACAGATAATCACAGTACCTGCCTCATTCGGGATATTAGGAGTTGCATGAGATAATGTACATAAAGCACTTAGCACAGAGCTAAATGCTATTATTTATTAGTGCCCATTTTCTTGTTGTTTAGTTGCTAAGTCGTGTCCAACTCTTTTGCGACCCCATGGACTGTAGCCCACCAGGCTCCTCTGTTCATGGGATTCTCCAAGCAAGAATACTGAAGTGGGTTGTCATTCCCTTCTCCAGGGGATCTTCCCAACCCAGGGATGGAACCTGTATCTTCTGCATTGGTGGGTGGATTCTTTACCACAGAGCCCCTGGGGAACCCTATGTGCCCATACCTACTATATAAATAGCATCCAAGATGTCCCTTCCCTATAGGTAAAATGTTCATTGTAGCTAAAATGAAAATTATATAGAAATAGAATATATACATATATAATGTTTGAGTATATCCAGGGTATGATAAGCAAATAAATAAACATCTGTAGTAGGTAAATAATTATGACCCAGTTTGTCACAAAAGAGTCTACCTGCAGTGCAGGAGACCCAGGTTCAATCCCTGAGTCAGGATGATCCCCTGGAGAAGGAAATGACAACCCATTCCAGTATTCTTGTCTGGAGAATTCCATGGACAGAGGAGCCTGGTGGGCTGCAGTCCATGGGGTCACAGAGAGTCTGACACAACTGGCTGACTTTCACACACATGTCAGGAAAGAATACAAAGTGTTCTGGGAGCCTTCCAAAGGAAGACCCAAGCAAGGAAAAGTGCAAAAACTTAAGAGAAGAGGTAATATTTGAGCTGGGCATTGATGAGTGAGTAGGAGTTTGTTGCTCAAAAAAGGAGATGATGACAAAATGTTCTGTTAAGAGGGAAATCCATGTTAGTGATTGGTGAAAAGGCCAGCGGAACTAGAGACTGAAATGTGAGGTGAGGAGGGAGGAGAAACCCACTTGGAAAAGTAAGTTGGGCTGAAATTCTTCCCTTGTTGAGTCAGAAACTTTTCAGTGCTCATCCAGTATGTGTCAGGCGATGTGCTGGGCCTTGGAAATTCTAGCAGAGCAGAGACACTGCAAATGTAAACCAAGACGTAATTATGGACAGCAATGGGGCCATGAAGAAAATAAACCTGTGACTCAATGGAGGGCGAATGGAGGGGCCTCTTTAGGTTGGGAGGTGAGGAAAAGCTTCACTAAGGAAGTGGCGTTTAAACAAAGGCTGAACTTTAAGAACAAGCCAGCCGGAACATCTGTGGTGGTCCAGTGGTTAAGACTTTGCCTTCCAATGCAGAAAAGGGTGCGAGTTCAATCCTTGGTCTGGGAGCTAAGATCCCACGTGCCTTGCGGTGAAAAAGCAAAACATAAAGCAGAAGCAATACTGCAACAAATTCAATAAAGACTTTAAAAATAGTCCACATCCAAATAAAAATAAAAATCTTGAACAAAAGAACAAGCCAGGCCAAGGGAACAGCACCCACAGAGGCAGAAGTGAACTTGACTTGTTTGAGGAGCAGGGAAGTCAGTGTGGCTGGAGAGTGGGGAGCAGAGGGAGGCCAGATGGTCGCAGTGAGGTCCCAGCAGGGCTGGCCTGCCTTGAGGACTGTGATACACAGGTTGACTTCCTTCCAGGGCAACAACAAGCTGTCATAGGTTCCCAGATGTGATTTGCACCTGTGAAAGATCCAGGAGGCTGCACTGAGGTGTAGAGATCGGACGTGCAGCAAGAAATTGGATAGCAGTGGTGGGGCAGTGAGGTGGCTGCAGGGGTTGGGGCAGAGCTGATGAGGCCTGGACCAGAGCAGCGGATGGGGAGGGAGGAGACACACAGGCATCAGGAAGGACGTTGTGACTCTGCCTGAGAAGTACGGACATCCCCCTGCTGGAAGCAGGGAGCTGCGGTGGAGTGGCAGCATCAGATCTATGAGATAGGAAGAGAGCTCTTTCTGAATGGTAACGAAGAGGCCAGAGTGAAGGAGGGTAGACTACAGGGTGGCAAGGTAAGAGCCCGTTTGGTGCAAAGATTAGCAAACTGTGCTGTGCTTAGTCGCTCAGTCGTGTCCGACTCTTTGCAACCCCATGGACTGTAGTCCTGCCAGGCTCCTCTGTCCATGCGGATTCTCCGGGCAAGAGTACTGGAGTGAGTTGCCATGCCCTCCTCCAGGGGATCTTCCCAACCCAGGGATCAAACCCAGGTCTCCCGCATTACAGGCAAATTCTTTACCCTCTGAGCCATCAGGAAAGTCCTAGCAAACTGTGATCTGTGGCCAGATCTGGCCTGCAGCCTGTTTTTGAACGACCCCTGAGATAAGAATGTTT